CCAATTCAAATATCAATTACAAGCAGCTTTTTGAAATGCCAATTTCAATGCCGCTTGCTGACCCAATTTTCATAGAAACTGCTCCACTTATTGACCATTGTACGATCCCTTGACTTTAGGGACCGTATCTATATGACTGCTTGGGTAGATTTGGGCACTGAGGGAAAATGGTGAAAGTTAAACTTAAATATAATTCGGTAGTGAAAATTTAAATTAGAAAAAGATCCATCAAAAATCTAAAAATCTTATTCCTGTTTTAAATAGATATTTATCTTCAACAAGTTTTTAAACATCTTAAAAATATAACAAAAATATTGTTTCTCTGACTTAAATTTGTGTTTGCCAAATATTTTAATAAAATTAATTCACTTAGGTTCTTAAGAAACATGTTTTTAACTGTCATTTTGAAACACAAACTCAAGGATAACATTTTGCAACCTTTTTATCCTGATTTTGGGGTTAAATCTATCCTTCGAAAGGTATTTTCTCTCCGTGCACGTCTGTATGTGTGTGTGTGCAGTTCGAGTGCAAGTTTTGGTCGTCGTCTTCATTGTTGGGTGTCCTCGTCCTCAACGTCGTCACAAAAGTTTCTCCTCCATGTGCCTGCTGGCGGCATGTGTTCAAGAGTTAAGTTGTGTCGAGTGGGACTGAAGGGGGTTCGAAGGGATCCAAGGGGAAGAAGGGGGAATCAGGGACACAAGGACCGAAGGGTCTGCGGTGTTCTTTGTGTGCTGACTGCACGAATTTAAAGCTGCCACACACTCTGCCAAACTGCTTTTTGACTTCTTGCAAAAGGGGGCAGGCAGCAGTCAGCTAACCAGCTGATTACTTTGGCATTTGTTTGGGCCCAACATTGCGGTAAGAACGGTTCCGACGACTGAAAGGGCAGGAGAATCGAAAACGTGAAGAGACGGCTGCTGGGGCGTCATGCTTTATTTATTGGCCGGCTACGATGTCATAAAAGTCATACAAAAAAAGAAGTAACCTTTTTGGGGGAAGCCCCAATAACGGGCGACACATTAGCCGACACTCTGGCTGTGAGACAGCGACAATGACATCGCAAAGTGCCCTGTCATAATAATAATAATACATAGCAACAACACCGCAGCGGCTCAGGGCAACAACCATAACAATTAAGCTATATCAAATTGAAAAAGTTACTTTTTGTCTAGCAACCTGTCATTAACATGGCGGTATAAAAAAAGATTGGCCAAGGGGTGTGTGTGGGTGATGGAGGGTCGCCAAATGATGATTAAGCAAAATGCGGCTCGATGTGAGCATTATAGATCAAAGATATGAATACTGAAAAAAATAAAGAGATTTGTTTTGCTTTAACTTGTCAAGTTGGTGAAGCTTTGAGTTTTCATTAATATCTCACATGCCAAAAAGTATGCTGCAATGTTTTCTGCTAAATTTGTTAATCCCCTATGGTAAGGGATTAGATAATAGGCATTAGGGATAGGTAACAATTTATAATAAGTTTTTGTATTTATTACACTAAATGGAATTTTAGTAATTTATTAAGAATTTGGAACAAAAGTTCTAAGAAAGTATTTTATTTAATATTTCTTAAAATCATGTATCAGCTTAAGAACTCGATAAAAATTATTTTCTCTGCATAATCCCTTACACATAAACATATTCACATTTATGCTTTGACAATGGGTTTACCCTTAGCCCTGTTTTATGACCTAGCAAACCGTAAATCAACGCTAATTAAATAAAAAATTGCTGAGCTGGGGTGCAAGGGAATGGGATAATTGACTCACTGCTTTAGTTCGTTTACCAATATTAATACAAAACTTTCTCATTAAGTGTCATAATACGGTCGAGCAAATGTCAAAAGCAAACTTTTTTATTTTATTTGTTTGTTTTTGTTGCCAGAGACTGGGTGACTTTTGGTCCGAGAGTCCTTTTACCCAACCGAGTCCTTTTCAATTCATTTTGTAGAAGTCTCGCCAGAAGTCCCAGAAACAAATACGTTTTTAATAAAGCGCATGAGTTGCATACAGCGATTGCGATTGCCGGACTAATGAAAGAGTTAATTGAATTTTGTACGCGTGTGTCCACAAAGTATTGGTCGCAAGGCGTCCATAGCAAATATGATTATAATTATTAATTAAAACTGTATTGTATTTCACTCCGAGCTGTTTATTTTTTTTCTTTAAACGCTCTCACTCTTTCGCACTTTTCATTGGCGTTTCAGGAAAGTGTGAAAATTGCCAAGGTATGCGAGGGGTCAAGGATTAATTGCAGTTCAACTGAGATGTTTTAAATGGTGATATATGTTAAACGGATTTCGAAATGAAAAATAAATTTTATATAGATATTTAAAGAGAGAAATAAATCATTTAAATATTGGTATATTCTTTGCTGTATCATAAGAATTAAAAGAAGAAACTTATTTATTTTTAAATATAATTTAATATATATATTTTCTTATTAAAATTTTTGTATTTAACGTGAATTACATCACATTAAAGGATTTTCACTCTACCATAAATTTCCTTCTTCTCAGAAATACCTTAAGCTTTAATCCTTTCAAAAGTATAGATACAGATACAGGCTCACAATTTCGCAGAATTCAATGAACACAATAGGTTCAATGCCTGAGGGTTTAACTGGCTCACATTTGCACTTGTTCCGGCCAAGTTGAAGTATGGCACAGCATTGAAGAGTTTCCTCCTTTTGAAAGTGTATTCAAGGATTTGGGCTTATTATTCTGAAAGATGTGGGCGGGGATTTTGACCATTTCCGGAGCTAGTCAATTGGCCAGTCACTGGGATCTTTGGGTTGTGCTTGGTCTTTTCAGAAATATAACTACGGCTAACCAGCTTCTTGACCAGTGCCTTTTATCATTAGTTTCTATTTGAGTTAAGCTCTCCTACAGTGTGGCCGGGCATTTAATTAACTCAGCAGCTCAAAGTTTGAATTTGACTTGCGTAAATTAATACATTGGCCACGTTATATTGGCCTCCTGTTGAACTTGGGGGTCCAAGAGGACCACAACAATGCCTCATCCTTGGACCTGACCTGGTTTTCATCCATACCAGTTTTTCCCCAGTTAACTTGGTATCTTTGGATGAGCTTTGACTGGCTTTTGGGGCAAAAACTTCATTTTACCACCGAACCCTTATCAACTTTCGCCACTGAACGCAGCAGCAGCAGCACTGTTCAGCTAACTTTGCTTATAAATTTCATTCGAGTCATTTGTTGACACACCCATACATACATACACACGCACACAAACAGAAACACAGATAGAGAGAGACTCATCGAACATAGATACTCACACAGTCAAATGCACACACAATACAAAAGTCGCAAGTCGCGGAAATCGCGAAAAGTTGCTGAAGTTATCTGGGCAACGCAATTTCTTGTTCTCGTTCCGCTGTTCCATTGTTTATAGTTCGCCTTTGTATTTGTAAGTTTCGCCCGAATGTGCAAATAGAATTAAAATGCGACGGAGACGGAACTAACCCAATTCTGATTTCTCATTGCAGGGGGTTTTTTGTTCAACGAGATTGTTAAAGGTTCTCGATTGGGGATATTGGTTAGCGGGAAAAGTTGGCAAACAATGAGAAGTTAATGTTGTTAGTTGGAAAAAATTTATCTCTCTATCTCTATAATCTCAAGTTTCTTATGAATAAAGGTACTTAATATCGTTGAATAAAATGTTTAGAAAATCTATTTTAATAATAATAAATTTCTAAAAATATATATAGTTTTTCTTTATAAAACACTACATGAGAAGAGTAATTAAAATATGAAAACGCCTTTGGAATTTTCCTTTCAATATCAGTTTTTGTTATAATATTTCTACCAATTACCAAAGTTCTACCAAAATTAGTAAGAAAAAACTGAGAATTAATTTGTCGCATAACCATTTCTGTCAGTACTTCACTTCCTTCGTGGTCCTCTGCACTTGTTAATCGGGGGATAACGAAATGAAACTCGACGCCACCCACAAACAACGGGCCATGACTTTCCTTTATGACAAATATATTCATTTCATACTCGTTCAAAGGCAACAAATCGCGTGACACGCTGACAGCGGTACTTGGCCCTTTGGTGTTGTTGTTGTTCTGCTATGTTTTTGTTGTTGTTCTTGTTGCGGTTGTTGAGTGGAGAGTGTAAAACTCAACTATTGTCTTCATTTTTCTTGCAAATCATGCAAGGCAATCTAAAATGTTGACACATTGGCAAACACATACACATGCCGACACGGCCACATCGACACATTCATATACTCGTACATACAAATATACATGAAAAAGGGAGTGAGAGCACTGAACAGCAAACAAACAAAAAAAAAAAAAGGCAGGCATCCGGCGCCTTTTTACCCCTGTCACTCAAGTTCAAGGTTCACACGCTGTCGGTTAAGGTTACGCTTCTATATAGACATTATATATATCGCTGAATTGTCACAAGTCTGCGCTTTGTCTCGCAACGAGCGCTTTGAAAAATTACAATAATTGTTATTTACGCATATCTGAACATGAAATGTGTCAATTGGCAAACCAACGAGCTAGCAAAGCGAACTGAACTGAACCAAATACAAAAGAAAGAAACACAACAACGTGGCGTATGCGTAATGTGTGAAAAGGGACACAAGGTCTCTGGCAGCAGCTTTGTTGGTGGCAAATGAGTGGGTGGAATGGGTGTCTGCTTTACTCGGTGGGTATTTTCGACACATATCAGACAAGTGCTGTCAAGCCTTCATAATTCGGTTCATAAAGCGATTTAGGTATAAGCATCCAGAGAGTGTTTTGAGTCCCCCGGTCAAGCCACAAAGCCAGATTATAGGACTTTTTTCTTTGAACTTAAGTAGGTTAAATAGGTTATATAATCTTAAATACTTGTAGGAAACAAGGCTTTTGCTTGTAAAACAAAAAAGACAAGTTTATTGATGCCTAATTTTTCATTTTAATTGTTAGTTTTGTCCAATTTCTTCAGATTTTTTACAAAATTGAAATTAGTTTAATCAGTTGGAAATAGAAAATAGTTATCAGTTTTAAATTAAAAAACTCACCTAAAAAATGTCTAAAAAATGTAATTGTCTTAATTTATTATCAATTAACTAATTATTATCAATAGATTAAATATATAAAAAAGAGTATCGAATCTTCATGTTGACTTTTTGCTGTTGAATTTTTACCACATTGATTGCCCCATCTAATACATCTCATTTGCTAGAACATTTTTTTTATCTTTGGCTCGTTTTTTTCTTGTTAGCCGTTTTTTATGGGTTTTTTCAAATGATTCCATTTGCAATTGCCTTCAATTAGCGGGCTTTAAAACAAACGTCAATAGAGTTGGCATTAAATTCAATCCACAGTTCTGGCACATATATAAATAGGAAACATCGTCGACTCTTTGACTGCCAGTTGTGTGGAGAGTATTGACGTGGTCTGTCGATTGAATTAAATATATATATATATAGATATGTATATATGTAACATATTTTCAACGCTGAATTAAATATTTAAAAAGAAAAATATGCTCTTGTTGCTGTACGCAGTGTTGTCGATTTTGCTGCTGGGCACGCACTTGAGTGGCGCGTCGACGGCTGACAAGGATGTGGCACCAGTTGGCGATTCAAAAACGGATTTGCTGTCATTGGAGCAGGAAATTGGCGGCTCTGCGGTGCGGGTGCGGGTTCGTGAATCTGTATCCGGGCGGAAACTGCATCCGGTTCGTCGTAGGCGTGGCATCTTCTTCAGCGGCAGCATCACGGGTTTTCCCTTTCTCAATTGGGCCAGCGGTTATTCCTGGGCATATTCAGGTTACCCATATAACTACTACAACTCACCATCGCCTGGTTATTATGGTTATGGTAGTGGCTATTATCCTGGCTACCTGGGCTATCAGAAAATTATCTACGGTTAATGTAAAGTTTAAGAAGAAAGAAAGTACGCAAATCGATTAAGAGAAAGAGAACCTTTCAATGTGAGATTATAAATAATGCCCATGAAGGACCAACGATGACCCTTTCGCCGTTTGTTATTTTACTTATTGTTGCTTCAGCTTTTTAAATTAATTTTCCGGATACGAAGAAAAAAAGTTAAGCTAAGTTGTATAGAAAGAGAGAGAGAGGGGAGAGAGGGAAAAGAACATCATGAAATTGCACAATTTATATTCATTTTTTGGTGGGGAAGCACAGATTTTGCATAAATCATTTCGCAGCGACCAAAAATGAAACGCGTAACATAATTTTTAACCCTTGATAATTTTTTATGACAAGCATTTTGCGTTATTTTCCCTCCATCTACCTTGTTGTTATTGTTGTTGTTGTTGTTGCTGCTACTGTGGGCCACAGCGAAATGCAAATAAAGCGGATCAAAAGTTTGTTGTTAAAAGAAGATTAATTGCAATTTGGTGGCAAGACCTGAAACATTTCGGACCCAACTCTCTCTCTTCAATTTACCAGAACCCTTCTCCATCTCCCAGCCTTGCTGGGTGTTGGTTGGTAATTAAATATTTTTAAGCTGTAAATGGTTTCCATTTGCGTGATGCTGCTGCTGCTGTTGCTGTTCTTATTTTGTATTTGCAATCAATAAAATTCATTAAACGTACAACAATAACAAGCAGTCGGGAGTAAAAAAAAAAAAAAAAACAAAAAACCAAAACAAAAATGGAACAAGAAAAATCAAATAAAATAAATTCCAGGCATGGTCTTAGTTTCAATTGCCACTCGGCAGTTGTAAATTGTTCTTCTATAAGTGCTGTCCTGGCAGTTGTTGCAGTTTTGCAAGTGGCTATTGTTTATTCATTCCGTTTTATAATCATTTTATTGCCGAGGTATGCTGATTTTTTAATCAATTTACATAATTTATGCATTTTTTATGAACTTAATTCCCAGTTGGGAGTACTATAACCCAAATGGCCAGCCATTCGGCTTGTGAATTGTTAAAGACAGGTATGGGGACCAGGGCGGAATGATTGCAAATTTGATAGTTGATCTGCTATAATATTGAATTATCTTTATAAAAGCAGTTGTCACATTGTAAATCATTAAAAATTAATTATTGATTCAACATTGGCTTTATTTACAGCGCTCTTTCGATTTTCATATCAAAAGTTACAAATATTTCCATAAATTAAAGTGAATTCTCGCTCTGCAAATTGTTTAAAATATAAGCATAATTAATAAGTTGCCAGATGGAAATTAATTTTGGTTGTGTATTAAATGAAATGGGAAAAGTTTTGTTTATTAAAAATATATTATAAAATTTTTTAAAAGGAATGATTTACTAACAATGAGTTTTAAAAACTTATTTAATTAATACTTTAACACTACATTTTTAAATTCATATCCTTTCCATACTCACAAAATAGTACCAAATTGTAATTAAACATAAATAATTATAGCATAAAACTATGATCTATAATCCACAAGTTCAACATTACTTTTCCTTCCAAGAAAAACTTATTTTTAGAGCCTTTCGGCAAGGGAAAACCCCTTCTAGTTAATGAGTATTTTACGGCTTTTCAAAGCTATGATTAAGTATTTCAGCAGTTAGTAGATCACACGTGTTTCCAGCAGAGGTTAAGCCCACACTCGGAACTTCCATCCTTAACCCTTTTAATATTTTTTTTTTGTTAACCACCTGTAATTAATAGTTTTCAAACTGACCATTTTTTATGCGAAAGAAAAGGGAAAGGCCAGTGAAAATACTGTGGAGGCGGTCCAAATTGAGGGTATTCGAAAATTTTAATAGAGCTGTCAGTTGTACCACTGCCACTTTTCCACTTTTCCATTTTTCCGGATGGGCGGAACGACCTCCAGCCGGCCAGCCAGCCATCCGTCCAATCAGTCATCCGGGAGCTGGGAGCTGCCTACTCCGGGACTGCGGACTGTGGACTGTGGACTATGGACTCCGGGGCACTTGTGCCCATTGTGCTTGCTTTTCATAATTGAAACGAGGTCAAAACCAGCGAACCTCATTAAAAATTGAATTGTTTAATTTTCATTTGATTTAATTAAGTTATTTGTTGGTCAATTAACCTTTTTTCCGCTGCTCGCTGTTCCGTTTGCCATTGTTGTTGTCTGACATATCAATACGATGTACTAAAGAGTATATATCTACTCTATATATATATATATATATATATATCTGTATATATATACTCGTATTGGATAGAGTTGTTTGTGCTGAAATTATATTGTTATTGTTGTGATGATTGCCCTTTGCCGTGTACAGAGAGAGAGAATGAGTACGTTTTAATGCCTACTTGCAATTATGTGTGATGTGTGAGATGTGTTTGTGTGTGTGTGCTGGCGCCAACGTGTTGAAATTTATTAATTAAAAATACTTTTCAATTAAAGTTAATGCGCTCAGCATTTATGTAATTCTATGTGTAAATACGCTGTAAACTCTTGAAACAACATATTATGAAAATACCACCATGGCGAGCCAATTAAAGGGAGTTTTTTCATTTTTTGGTTTTTAAATCCAGAAAAGGCTTAAAATTATATATACTCCCATCCATTCAATGCTATGTAAAGTGTCTAAAGTTCTGCCCTTTGTTATGGCTTTGGTTATTTTTTACTTAGCACTTAGCGAGCGGCTTAAACTGCAACTCAACTCCGGCTCAGCCGGAGCTCAACTCCGCCGGAGTCTGGAGTACAGAGTCTATCTCATTATGCTCAAATGCACTTGCAAAAGGCTGGGAAAACTCAGTTCTGAGCTCCTAACAGAGCGATAAACAATATTCATGATTATGAAAACTTGTGCGGCGTTCGCTTTCGCACTTGAAATCTGTGTAAAACGAGGGTGGTTCGCACAGATCAAGGGCTAGAGTAAATTACTTTTAATTTAAATCCTTTGGCTTTTGTTCTTGGCCAAGTAGCGTTGCTAGGTCTTAATTGTGGGTTTTTTTTTTGTATAAAGGATTTTTGGGTGTGGCAGAAGGTTAATTGTGCATATTTTGGTCTGGTATAATAAAGCTTAGTATGAACTTTAAGTTATCAAAAGATCTAAAACCTTAAAAGTTTTCATTCTGATTAGTATACCTTACCTTAAAGTTAAGCTGTTGGTAAATCAGCTTTTTACACCACCCACACTCCAACTCTTTGAAACCTTTTGACCTTTGATACCAGATGCCATGGCTGTATGAAATGTACTTGATTGCCAAAATCTAAGAATCCTAAACTCGAACAATTCGAGAATCCGTTTACGTTGCCAATACGCTTGGAGCTGCCCTCCAACGTCCAGTCCAGTCCGGTCTGACTTTGCCTTTTGGAGAAACTCCATTAAGCAAACGCACTGGGTCGGCTTCAAATAATCCAGAGCTGGCCATTTTCTCATCCAAAGGCTACGCTGGCAATGACCACAACTACATCTACAGATGCAGCTACAGATACAGATGCGGATGCAGTTTGCGGAGATACGGTGGATACATGAGGGCATGTAGATGTGTACATATATTTTGGCAAAGCATCGAGAGGAGAGGAGTTCTTGCCGCAGAGGCCAACTGAAATGAAGTGTCATTGTGATGGAGCAACGGCACTGCAGCTGCACTCCAGTACGCTGGAACTAGCTGTGCAGGATGGCAATAGGGATGGTAAGGATCCACAGGACCCGACCCGAAGGACTCGCGCACTGCCCCCCGGACGACACATTTACACGCACCGCTGCAGCTGCAGCGCTGCCTCACGTACTCGGCATTGTGACAAATGGATTTTCGCATGAAATCCCCAGGATTTCTTCAAGTGTAATTGCGCACGCTAAAAGCGAATGCGAATGCGGATGCATTTGGCGGCATTTCCCCTTCTCCAAAATACAGAAGAAAAAGCTATATAGTCGACTAGTATATACTTCGTACATATAAAAATATTAACAACCCTACGTTTGGTTAATAAAAGTACAAATTTGGGAACACTTATCACCATATAAATCAATTTGTCTAGCCTAGGCTAGTAGGCTTTTAGAAGTGAGTCCCAAGTTACCATATCGTAAGACCTTAGGCTTCCTAAAAAGCTTCCCTTCTTCCCACAAACCATATATACCCTTCCGTACAACAAGTACCCCACAAAAGAATGCGGATTTGAGTCCACAAAACGAGCATTAAATTTCATGCACTTGCGAACGTTTATTGCTCTGGCAGGATAATTTTTCAGCGCTGGATGCTTTACTTTTCTTTCTTCTTTCATTGGGACTGCAGCATGATCGTCCAGGTGCGATTATGGGCGCACACGCGGAAAATTCGACTGAGTCGTCGAATAACGTTGCACGGTATGCGCAACGATTGGCCCATCCAGGTGATCATCAAACTGCAGTTGTTAATGCAGATTTGTAGAATCCGCAGGATACAAAATATTAAGGAGTTTCTGAAAGGTGGTTCTAGCCGTCGCAGGCCATAGCGGACGCATTTAGAACCCACCCTTAGTACATTTGTCACTAGGATTAGAAACTCCTGAATCAACTGGAACATGCCCAATACATTTTGTAGATAAACAAATACAGCATATAACATCAATCTCAAAGGTGAACTCAGAAATAGTCCATAGGTAACAAGTCTCCGATCGTTGTCCATATTTTCCACATCTTCCATTTTCTGGGTTTGGTTTTTTATATATTAAAGTGGAAACTCAACACAACTGTAGAGAACTTGAAATTTGAAATGCAAACTTTTCCCGTGTGCGTGCTATTGCCTTCGATTGGACTTTTTACTTGACACCACGTTTATTTTTTCTTTTTGTTTTCGATTTGCTGTGTTGGCTTTGACAAATTTGTCGTAAGCTACTTGGCAAAAAGGTGTCCTTGTCGTTTTATGTTTTTTTTTTTTTTTTTTTTGTATTTTGAGAGTGCGAGAACGGAGATGCCACTATATCCTATATCGTGAAAGTACAAAAAAGTTTATATTGCCAAACATTAGGAAACCAGGGGGCCGACATTAAGGGGAACCAGGGCTGGGCCACCCCAACAAATCACGCCCAGGCTATTTGCAGTGAATTGAAATTGATCAATTTGGGTAGTTAGGGGAATTGTTTGGCTTTATGTACGCTGCTGGCAGCTTTAATGGATGAATTCGCTTATGCCATCGGGACTCTCGAAATGGGTAAATTGAGGTTGCCATTCGGGCCACTGGATCTCATCGAATACATATGTATCCATACTTCTATATATATAACTTGATATATAGCGAGAGATGCCCTCAAATCGAATTAACGTTTGCCCTGCGGGACACGTCCGTACGTTTGTTTTTTTTTGTGGGAAAATCAAGGAAATAATTTAGTCAAGTTGCTAGCGTTTTGACAGGTAAAATTATGGCAAAAATCAATTCCAGTTAGCGATGATCAGAAATTGCATGAAAAACTAAACAAAAAACTTTGGGATGTGATTTAAAATTAGAATTATATGTAATATGTTTATATTTATTATTAGTCTTAGAAAAAAATATTTCAGAACATTTTAGTTAGTTGCATATTTGATTTCCGAGTGTAAACGTTGTATTATGTGAGTCAAGATATGTGATAGCTAAGTTTCTACATCTGGTCCCACTTTTTTCTTAAACTTACTGTAAATAATGACTTAGCGGATTTGTCATAAAGCATTCGTACAATGTACATAGTATGTACATACATATCTAAGAAGAAGCTACGAAGATTTGCATCAGAGTATGACCAAGAAACAACCTGAAAGTTTGTTTAAAGGTTTTTCCTACCTGGGAGTAATTCAGAAAAGCCCTAATTAAAGAAATAGCTATAAATATAGAAACCTACTTCTACAGTAATAAAAAGTTTGCCATCAAAATATTTTCAGTCCAATTTTTTCTCTCAACAACAGTTACTAGCCATTTTAAAATTAAATTCCTACAAAACAAAGAGTGTGCGATTTTATAAGATATTTTATTCAAACATTAGCAAAGATTTTTTAAGACAATGGAATTAGTATGCAATATTTGCAAGACCACAACTTGTTTTGTTAAAGTATCTTTACAAATTACATACTATTCATATTTTTTAAGGTTTATCAGCAATTTATACTGAATAAATACAGATTTATTTTTTGTTCAAGGAAATATAACCGAAATAAAACCTGTCGATATCATCGGTTAACATACCTGATACTCATTCTGAACCCGACAGCTGATGGCATTTGAGTTTGCAGTTGGCTGCATTTAAGCCCCGAACTGCAGTTTTCCGGCAAGCAGCTTACTGGCCCGCCTGGCCGAGCAGCTCAGTCCGAAGTTTCCAGAGGTCCCCTTCTTTCTCTGCCTTCTCTTCTGCTCTTCCTCCGGCTCTTCTTGGCCAGCTTTAAGTTCCTGCATCTCAATTTCCCACTGTCCATTGCCCCAGTGTTCCTTGTCTTTGTGCTCATCTGTCCTCACTGCATTATTTCCAATTGCTCCTCTGTTAGCCCAAAAACCGAAGGAAATAAAGAAAGATATGGTGTTGAAAAAAAAAAAAAAATGGAAATGTACAAAAAAAGGAAAATGGGAAATACGAAAGGAGAAAATCTGCCTAATTCACAGTGAAGACAGAGCCGGATTGGCAGGGGGCTGGGTAGGGATCAGATGAGGGGGCGGGCCAGTGCTTACAACGCAAATCTGCGAGCGAACGGAAATAAAGTGGAAAGTGTAATGACAAAAACCCGGATTAAGAATGTGCCGCATACAAGTTGCACACTTGCGCCTTTCTTGATGTCCGGTTCCTTTTCCACAAAGAGTTTGCATTAGAGTGGACTTTTCCGTTTGTATTTCTTTAAAGTTCTTTATTAGTTCACTTATTCTTTATACTTAAAATTAACCAAAATGTTCTACTAATAAGGTAATAATTAATCTCTTTAATAAAAAATATTCCACTGCAGAGGGAAAAATCAACGATAGAAAGCTAAGTCAATATTTTTGTCGTATTGATATCATCAGAAAGTGCTTAAAACCCCTTAGGAAATGTAAAGTAAAATTAGTAATGACTTAAAAATATTTTGATAAAAGATTTAAAAGCATCAACAAGTAAATATTATTTTTCCAGATATTTTTACAGCTCAATAGCAGGCAAAAATGTGATAAATAGTGCAATTTCTTGGTCCACCTCAGTCCTATCCGTATCTTTTTCCATTCGCATCTTTCTCTATCTACACGATATATATACATATATATATACGTATATACATAAACATATAAATACATAGCGACGAATATATATTTTAAGCGAGGCTTATCTTATCAAGCGACCTAAAAGACGCCTTTCAGCGAGCGTCTAGCGACAATTGTAGTGACACACGATTCGGTCCGGTTTCAGTTTCAGTTTTCAGATTCAGATTCAGAATCCGATTCAGTTTCAGTTTTAGCCAGCGTTTCTCCATTCGCCGGACGATGGACGTCGGACTAAGGACGACTCGTTTGCTTTGGGTTTTAGCTTTGCATTGGCCAGATCTAGAGCCCGATTTGGATTTGGATTCGGAACGAGAAGAAGATGAGGAGAAGTTGAGGAGAAGGCAGCTCCTTGTCCGCAGGGCAATGCACACAGCTGGACATTCATTACAAAAACGGAAACACTCGCACAATGACAGAAGATAAATGGACCTGCACTTGTACGTGTGTCTCCTGCTCTCAATCCATCCACAGGACCTTACACCACCCTTCTCCTCCCACCATCCCTCGAGATTTTTGGTTCGAGGGTATGTGTGTGTGTATGTGTGCGGTTTTTATTTAGTCGCTTGTTTTATATCAACATCTAACAAACGAAAAAAAGGACAGAAATATATATGTAGAGAAGCAAAATCTTTGATGGTGGAAAATGGAAAGAGCTTATAGTTTTCCTTTTTTCCATACCCCATATACACCAGCAGTAGTTGTACCGCTTTTAGTTTAGATTTTTAATCTGTGCATTGGGTTTTGTTGCCTTTTGTTTTACCAGCAAGCAAAATCGGCAACGGCAAACAGCAAGCGCTGCAGCTCTTCATATTCATTGTGTTTTGTTCCATTTGCTGCCATATTTGTATTCCGTTGCCTGATGCTGCCGCTACTGCCGCTGATGTTGATGCTACTTTTTGCCCTGCTTGTCTTTTTTTTGATTGAGATATTTATTATGGACATTTTTTAGCTGCACTTGCTCGCATACCTAGCGTATATGGTAACACCCCAGCTATCCAGCTACCAGGCTACCCATCTACCAATTTCCCTTGCCTTTGGCCCAATTTCAATTTAAAACTTTAACCATTTGTTTTGCGGGTACAGGGAGACACACACAGAGAGAGAGAGAGAGAGAGAGCAAATTTATCAGCTATTTTTGCGCCATTTTTTGGCCAAGCTCGTTTGCCGAGCGTTGCATTCATCAAAAAATTTTATTCCGGCGCGCTTCTAACTTGGCGGTTTTTTATAAGCGCACTTTATGTCAAAACCACAGCGACACCAACACCAACAGCAACACGAGAAAATTCTATCTAGCACCACTAAAAGGAATGCGAAAAAATATTTATTTCCTCTACCCCACAAAAACAAAAAAAAGCAACAACACTTTTCCATCCCTTTGGGTAACCCAACAAACCCTTCTATAAAGTTCCACTCCCTATGTCCAGTGACAAAAGACAAAACCAAACCAAAAACTCAAACTAACCGAGCGAAAAATAAAAACAAAAACAAAAATATAGAAAAAACCGAAAATAAAAAATTGAAAACAAACTGTCAAGCAAGTGAAATAAATTAACAAAATGGCGCCATAAAGCTAACATATGAGCGAATACTTGATTTTTCCAGCAGCTCCTCCATATAAATTTTAGAGATGAGCTGCAAGTGCAGCATCGTGCAGCTTTTTCCTTCTTTCGCCACTAACTTTTCTATTATTTAGACATATATGCCACTGACAGTGTTAGAAGACATAGACAAAGCCAAAGAAGTTGCAAGTTTTTGGGGGAAATTGTAAAGCCTCGACGCGAATGATACTCATGTTCATTGAAAAGATCCTGAAAATAAACTTCAAGTTCCATTGAGAATTGCAGCAATTGAAAGATAATCTCTGGGTAATTAAGTTAGTTTAGAAATACGAGTATATGCAAATTAAACTTAGCTTCACTTTCTATTTAGCACTGGCAAAGTTTTTGACTAAGTGAATCAATTAATTTAAAGTGTGTATCAGCTTAAATAGGAAACAATGGGAGTAGACAGACATTTACTGGCCTTTCATCTTACGTTTTTTGTGTATATTAATTTAAATTGTAATTAGGGGAATAGTAATGGTTATTTATTGACTTTTTACTTGATGATGGGTGGGTTTTGATTTTGGAAATTACTTTGGCTCGGTCAAAGCTGTTGAAAAAGTAGGAAAATTTAAAGTATTTAAAGAATTTTATAACCAAAGATATTAACAAAAAAGTATGAGAATTTAAATAATTTAAAAAGATATACTAATTATTTAAATAAACTCTAAGACCATAGAAATATTAAAATGTGCCTAAATTTACATTTTCATTTTGTTTTTTAACTCTGACACCTTAATAAGTAAGTTTATAACCCTTTGATTTGTGTTTTTAGTATGTTAACATGTATACTTCTTTAATAATTTATTAAAACTACAATTTGCAAGTAAGTTATTAGAGGGCTCCCCTGAGTTCAACCTGTTAGATGACAATCTACAAAGACAAAAATAACTTACCTTTCCGTTTAGAGTTCTCCTTCGATTTGGCATACCCTTAAGCCCGCTGAATGCCTAAGTGCAAGCTCGGCAAATAGTGATTTTTTGCTCAACTTTATCGCTCGCGCGCAAAACAAAAGTAACTACTTCACTTTTGACTTTTTGCTTTCGGGGAGTTACAGGCGACATATGAGCCGCAACTGGCAGGATGTCACTTTGACCCGAGCCCTCCACCATCCAACCCCTCACTTCGCTACAACAATAACCAATGGCTTCAATTTTGTTGATTGGAGTCGTACGAGGTTGTAGTATCTGGGCCAGAAACACCCAACTGGTTGGCCAAAAAGGCTGAATGGGTTGACTGAATTGGCTGAGATGGGGGACTCTGCGTTTTTTTTTTTTTTGTTTTTGTGGATTGGGCTTATGGTATGTGAATGCAATTGCCAATGTGCCGGCGTGCAAAGTATGCCCAAATGCATTTTAAAACATTGTTTTGGCTACGCTTTTTGCCACATGGCATCAGCTGGCGACCATGTTGGCCTGGCCAACACACAGGCACACACATACACACAAAAGCCAATGCCAAACAGATAAGAGCGCGTATTTTATTTGCATACTTTTAGGCTGACTTTGCGCGCTCGCTGCGGCAACTGGCGTTTGGAAAGCCATTTGCCGGCAGAAATGCGAGTTGGTTGACAAAAAAAAAAAAAAACAAAAAAATAGAGGAAAAAGCTGGCTAAAAAATCGCCAGAAATTGCAAAAACAACCCAAAAAACACACACACACGGACAAAGGGAAAGCAAAGGGGCCCGAGAAAATATGTGAAATGCGAACTTTTACAAAGATTGACAAGTGGCGACTGGCCCGTTTAAAATGTCAAATACGTATACAGTTGCCGAGACTTTTCATGGAAAACAAGCAGGGGTATGAGGGTATTTTTTTTTTGTGTTGTGGATCGGGGGTTGAAAAGTGCTGCAGGGGAGGGGGTTTACGTGCCGCGGGTTTTCGCTAGCGATTTTTGTTTTGTTGATGTTTTGATTTGTGCGTGCGTGCAAATGTTTGCACTCCCGCGTTTTGTTTTTGTTTGCTTTTGTTTTCTTTTTCGGTTTTGCACTTTGGACAAGCCACCAACTAGCCAACCTACACTCCCTCTCTTTTCCCTACGATTTTCCGAACGTTCTCTGCCTCTGCCATGGAGGCACTTGAAAAGCCCTATGGGTATGTCGCTTTTTTTCCTAGCCAGGAATAAACTATAGTTTCCATACATATACATATTCCCACGTATATATTTATTTTTTGCCTGTTAAAATTTCCTTGCGCGTTGCCCGTTACATTGCGTTTATGCAGAGAAAAAAATTAAAGATCATAGAAAAAGTTAGAAATATTATGGAGGTCGTTTTCAACTTTCATAAAACACAAATTAAAGAGCGGTAAGTAGATCATGGATTTAATTTTTAACACAATAAATGTATAAATAATAGTAGTTTTTTTTAAACAGTTTTAGTATAAAAATATAAATTTGTTTTAAATTCAAGGAATCCAACAGCTTTTCTCTCTCTGCACTGTTGTAGTTGTTACTTTGTTTCGTTTCCGTTTGCCAAGTTGTGTGTGTGTGTGTGTGTGCTCATCAAAATGGAAACTGTGCAACGTGCACTAAGTGTGACTGATAGTGTGGTGAGTTAGTTGATTCTTTTTTATGCCTCGCAGCCCAAAAATTTCCCCGGGCCGCGACTGACAGTTGCAAATCATCAGAAATTTAAATTGACTTAAATTGTTTATTTTTTT